ATCACTTGACATGTGCCGTTGTCGTACAGTTGTTGAATAAGGTTGATGCATATTTGCGGTACGCCGTAGTACTCGAGTAGTTTCCAAATTACTTCGCGGTCAACGCTGTCGAAGGCCTTCTCAAAGTCTATGAAGTTGAGGTAGAGATTTGATTGCCATTCCATGCTTTGTTCGATGATAATGCGTAGAGTTGCAATTTGGTCAGAACATGATTTGCCTTTCCTGAATCCAGCTTGTTCTGGTCGGAGTTCTGTATCCAGCGCGTCCTTGATTCTCTCCAGGATGATGCGACTCAGGATTTTACTTGGCGTCGACAGGAGCATGATTCCTCGCCAGTTCTTGCAGAGTCCCAGGTCGCCCTTCTTTGGTAGTTTCACCAGGTAACCTTTCCTCCAGTCAGTAGGCACCTTTCCCTCTCTCCAGATCTTTTGCAATAATGGAGTCAGCATATCTGCTGTTGTTTCTGGGTCCGCTTTCAGTGCTTCCGGGGGTATTCCATCTGGTCCAGCTGCTTTTCCAGCTTTCAGAAGCTTGATTGCATTCAAGACTTCAGTTTTCGTTGGAGGATTGGTGTCAACTTGCAGTTGTGTACGTGCTGTTGTTGGTATTACTGGACGGGTTGTAGGTGGTGGTCGGTTCAAGAGTCCTTTGAAGTGGTCCGCCCATTGTTTAATCTGTCTTTCTTCTTTGGTAATTGGGTTCCCTTGGCTGTCTTTTATAGGTTTCACTTGTGTTGATCTCTTCCCGGATAGAGACTTGGTTATCTGATATAGTGTCCTCAGATCCCTTTTGCCTGCTGCCTTCTCAGCTTCAGTAGCCAGGTTGTCGTAGAATTGTCTTTTGTCCTTCCTGGCACTCTTCTTCACTTCTTTGTCCAGTGCTGTGTAAGTTGAGCTCAGCGTCTCCTTCTCTTGTCCATCTTTGCATTGAATCATTTTCTCTTTCACCATTCTCCTCTCCTCTATTAGTTTCCAAGTGTCTGTTGAGAGCCATTCCTTGTCTTGTTTCTTCTTTCTCCCTAAAACCGTTGAACACGTTTCGTTGAAAATTACCTTCAGAGAGTTCCAATGGTCTTCCACGGATGATTCCTCAGTGGTGCCACGTAGTGTTTCCTGCTTTGCTCTGACAGTTGCAGTGAAAGTGTCCTTTGTGATTGTGTCCTTCAGTTTTTGCGTGTTGAACTTGCATTGTGGCCTATCCCCAGGTATCCTCGAGGCTTTCAGCTTCACCTTGAAAGTCCCTTGTACCAGATAGTGGTCTGAACCCACATCTGCTCCTCTCCTCGATCTTGTGTCCAGTAGGCTCCGTCTCCACTTCCTTGAGATTGAAATGAAGTCTATCTGGTTTTTGGTGTGTCCATCTGGTGAAATCCATGTTGCCTTGTGTATATGTCATATTTAACGATTCTAGTTTTTGTCCGATTTATCAGTAAAGAACGGACCGATAAAAGAAATCCAAAAACAGCAAATGTTTTTCAGATATATGTATATATTTCCTAATTACCTAACTAATTATGGGTATTTAAGACGTTATAAATATGTTTCTGTGACCGCAGACAATTAGGCATTCAAAGTCAGTTGTCTGAGCTAATTTCTTATAATTTATTTATCGAAGAACAACAGCAGTTGGATTTGTGATGTGCATATTCTCTCGTTTCAAGGTTGTCAGCTGAATATGTCTACAGTTCTATAACTGACTGTTTTACCACTGAAAACTGAGATCACCATTTTTTTTTCGGTTCAAACAACAATGCCTTAACCCATCAACCAAAGGTTATCATGATTCCTGCATAGCACTTCACCTCTGATTTCATTTTTGACTCTCTAACCGTCGGTTTTGCGTGTTTGTTATTGATTCTATCAAGAGGTAAAACACTGGAGACCACGGTATCTTAGCAGTGCAGTAAAGTTAAAAAAATGGGCAGGCGAACGAATGAACATATTAGTGACGTTGAAACGAGAAATTTTGTTAAAAAAGGAAAGTTTTGGATGAAGGGAGAGACCTCAAGTTTGGTATTAATAGGGAATTTTGCTCAGGACTGAAGGGATATTATTCATCCAGGAAGTAACTTAAACTTAATTCTTACCAGTTATTTCTAAATCTCACATAAAGTTGACTGTAGTCGATTTTAGCTCTAATTTTGTACTAAACTAACAACAATCTTTCCCTAAGTTAATCTAACCCTAAAGGGGATAGTCATCCTCTGAATACTTTTTACCCACAGTACTCAATGTTGTTCCTTATAGATTCAACGGCAAATCATAGTCGCTAGCTGTCAGCAAAGCTAAAGCTCCTACCTTGCTCTCCGGAGGTGATTCGTTAACTTTCACCTGTGATCATCCTCCTTTGGGTGTGACTGGTAGCATCATATTATAACTCATGCAGCATAACAGGCATCCTATCATGCTACTGGACTAACACAATTCCACCGTCCAACCCATTAGCATACAATTCTGCTCGAATGGTTCCATTCTACTTTCTCTAAATTAATCTAACCCTAATACTAATCTTTCTTTATTTCAGGCCTAACTAAAATCTGTACCGAATATAATCTTAATCTAAGCTTAACTCTAGCTTCTGACCCTGGATGATTATCAGTGAGATGAATACGAACAATCATTTGCGAAATTGGGAGTTATTCTCACAATATTTTAAAGAAGTGTCTCCTGCTTTATATCTTGCGTTTCTTTGAACATACTTCTTATGAATAGGAAGATATGCAAGTGAAAAGCAACAAGTTGGCAGAAGAAGCATCAGAGATAGGACTTCAGGTGAACACAGAGAAGACAGAGGTGATGATGATTCCTGGGCAACACCACCAAAAGCAACAACAACAACATAAAACAATCTGCATAAATGGAAGGAACCTGAAAGAAACAACCTCTTTAACCTACCTGGGAAGCATCGTTTCAACTATGGGCGGAACTGACGAGGATATCAAAGCAAGAATCGGAAAAGAAAGACAAGCTTTCACTACTCTCAAGTCTGTGTGGAGGTCAACAGCACTCAGCATCAAAATTAAGATCCGGATTTTCAACTCCAATGTGAAGTCAGTGCTACTATACGCATGGAGCAGAGACTTGGCGTATCATAAAGAGCATCTCAAACAAACTACAGACGTTCATTAACAGTTGTCTTCGCTCAATACTGCGCTCAAGATCAGATGGCCGGCCAGAAAAGATCAGCAACAGAGATCTCTGGGAGCGAACCAACCAGAAACCAATTGTGAAAGAAATAGGCAGGAAGAAATGGAGATGGATTGGCTGGTCATACTCTGAGGAAACCATCAAGTGACATCACTAGACAAGCCATCGCTGGAGTGGAACCCGAAAGGGAAGCGACGAGTTGGTCGTCAGTGCAAGGGTGACTTGGAGGAGGTCATGTGAAGAGGAAATGAAAAGGTGTGGACAGACTTGGAGCCAAGTGAAGACTCTAGCAGGGAACCGAAGGCAATGGAGACTTACGGCTGAAGTCCTGTTTCTCTAGGAATTAAAGGAAACAATAATATTATTATTATTCAGTGTTATTTTCTTTTGATGATCACTAGCAGTGTGATCATTCACTAGAGAATCGGGTACATTCAGCTGGTGAGTGTCAAACAGGACGAAATGCGCAGCCTAGATTTGATTGCTAGTCACTATCATCCAAAGTAACATCATATTATATATCAGACATCGTCAAGGCATCCGTACTAGAAGCTGAGATGACAGCAGAGACAGAAGTTGAGTGGGAGAGCAAACACCAGCCGATGATGATGATGATATATAAGATCACCTTGTTAACTGAAGTTCCTGTGTTCCACCATCCCTAGCGGGGTGATGGATGGTTGCTGCTGAAGATTCATTTCCAACCACCGACGAAACGGCTGTTCAATACACAATTGTGACACATTTCCATATGTTTAATGTTCATTTATTCTATGAATTAAAAAAGGTGCTTCCTTTTTAATTGGTTGATATTATTTTTTGTTTTACTGATTATGACCTGTCTGTTTCTTTAATAATAATAATAATAATAATAATAATAATAATAATAATAATAATAATAATAGTTTATTTGTGCCTATTACAGATACTTACAAACATTACACAAATAAGGAAATATGACAATACCTTATGAGATCAAACATACACACATATACACACGCACAAACGTAGAAGACAGACATGCATTGTATGCACACACACACACACGTACGCACATGTGAATGAATGTCTGTACTACAAAGTGTCTAGTATGGCAGAAGTGTATTGTCAACTTATTTTGTAGGTAAAAAATAAACCATCAGTTCATTGTAAAAAAAATCATTTTTATATTTTGTTGAACACTGTGTTTATATGCGATATATAATAATAATAATAAAACGTGGCATATGATGTGTTAATGACTCCTTAGTGCTGCTGCCGCTATTGCTACAACTACTACTACTATTGTAATCCACAATTCAATCCACAATAAGATTTTTGCACCTTTATTCAGAATACATTCAAACAGAGGAAAAAATGTGCTCATACGTACGTGAGAATTTTTATATAATCTATGCTATTAATAATAATAATACTAATACTAACAATTAACAATAACATATTATATTATAATTTACAGTGTAATATATAACATTCTGAACACTCTTCACACACAAACACACACACTTATGTTCCCACTTTCTTTCGTTACTATTATAATCACTTATATCAATGTACTTCTTTTCTAAGTAGACATTTAGATACACGCATAGATATACTGAGGACTACTCAAAACGCTTGAAATTCACATGCTCACTGAAAGAGAGGCAAAAACAGTACGCCTATACAACATGTATACTCACATAACAATATTAAACATAAGGACAGTGAACGAATGAAGGAATGAGAGCGTGAATGACCTATAACTACCCAATAGTATAATATATATCAGTATTAATACTCTATATTACTTCACATACAAATATATAAATAAAGATAACCCTGTTGAATACATATATAACTAAATATAAGTAGAACTCAGCATCGTTGACATCGCCATCATCATCAGCCTATGTTACTGAACTCAAAATTCAGTCGAATAAATTTGCGGCATTGAAGAGTTCTTTTTTGAACGTAAGTTGTTTCGGTGATATTTTTTTATTGACTTTCATTACATTTCCCCGACTGGTGGTTAATTGTTGTTGTGAATTGTTGTTGTTGTTCTTGTTGGTGTTGTTATGCAAATGTTCTCATTGTTATTTTTTCCTCTACTTTCTTTTCTTTTTCTTCTAATTATCCTACGAACCGCCCCCGTACGCTCTCCCCTTCTTGTGGGGGATGAACAATCAATCCTTTTTGTGTGAATAACACTCAATGAACAAAATGATACGTGTGTGTTAACCAATCGGGATCAAATCAAAAACAATAATGATAATAATAATAAAAACATATATACGCTATGCATAAAATCATCGAATATGTTAACGGATTTCTCATAAATTAGATATTTAACTGTTGTGATTGTCCAAGAATGCATGCTAAGTGTAATAAAGAAATTGCTCAACATCAACAATTGATAGCTGAATTACAAGAACAGCTGTCAAATAAAAATAAACGGATCACAGAATTAACAAGTTTACTGGATAAATATCAAAGTGTATTCAGTTTATCGAGTTCCCTGTCGACACCGACAACTGTTGTTAAAAGTCAACAGCAGCAACAACAGCAACAACAACAGCAACAGATCGATAACAATGAAGTATTTGGTTTCGGTGGGAATGTTTCAGTGCATCAGAATGAATTAACTGTACAAACAAGAAAACGTGGTATCGGGATATCCGCTGAACCGCAGAATGAAGACGAGATTCAATCGAAAGAGCTTATATCCCATCCGAAATCTGAAGAGTAAGTCATTCTTCTTAGATTTATCTTTGTTTGTTTGTTTATTGTTTCTTTTTCGTAAAACTAAAATTCTTTACGAGTTTCGCTACGGATTGATATCAGTTAACCGGAAGGTACTGGGTTCGAACCCCAATTTGGTGAATGCGTACTGCTGATGATTCCCAAACAAGGATGAAACAGCTGTCCAGTACTATCCGGGTTGGTTCCCAATGGTTCTCTAAATGATATCAATTCGTGGTCAAACTCGTAAAAACAAATCTAATCCTTACAAACCGACTCTTGATAATTAAAATTCTTTATTTATGTGTTTATCTTTACACACTGGTGGTTTAGCGGTAGAAGGCTCGGCAACCACTTAAGTGGTTCGGGCGTGCATGCCAGGCTGATAAATTATATGAGAGGCCAGCATTCAAACCTCATACAAAAAGAATACACCGCTACTACTGAAAATTAAAAGCCCGAGTTTGAAGTCCTATGTTCCAATGGAAATCAGAAAAATCAAATAAATATCACAAAAATTGTATTCTAAAGGAGGGTAAGATACTCTCCAGCTATGCTGGAGATAAGGGTTGGATTCCCTACTGACCGATGCACTCCTAAACCCTGGTCTAGTTAAACTAGCCGTTAGTAAACCGGAAAGAGAAGGAATAAGTTTGGGCGTAGAGTCACCGGCCCACAGTCACTACATAAAAGCATCCCCACTGGTACTGCATCACTTAAAAAGCTCGAAAGCCTGTGTTCCACTCGGAATGCAAGAAACGAAGAGAACTGTCCAAAAGGATAGTGAATATTCCGTTGTATACACCACCTCTCATTATTATTTATAATACATTCTATAATTCAACCACTCAGAGAATAGTATTATTATGAAAACAAGTGATTCAGCGAAGAGACTCTTTTCAAAGAATTTATCATCAAGCTGTACAGTCGTATATGTATACGGTTTTTTTAAGAAATTATATCCGTTGAGGGAATTGAATCATAGGTGTGAATACATAAAAGAATAATAATAATAGTAGTATGAAATGCAATTAAAAATAAAATGTTTGTTATTATAATCATTGGTAAATGTCAAGTGGCAAAGCAAATTAATGTCATATATAGAATAATTCATAGGATGGATAGAACTTGTAAAAGGGTGTGCAATTATAAGATTAGTAGACAAATCGAATAAAATAAAAATGTTACGTAACACTGTGTGAAATTTAATAGCATAGAATTTAATGTTGTAAAAAGGAATTGATTTAGAATGACAAGTGGAACAAGTGAAATAATACCGGAGACAATTCAAAGTGAGAGTAGTAATAGTAACAATTGACGTAATAAGGAAGAGACTACAAATTGAATAGACAAAATGAAAAATGAAAAATTGGTAGAGCTAAAATACGATTGGGTATTACCATACTTTAGCACAGAGAGATTAAGACGATGAAAGTTGGAGGGGTTGAATGAACTTTTTCTGTACACAGAGCTCTGGCTTTTCTGTTTCGATAGCCAAAGCTTCAGCAATACAGATGAGTCACGTACGTAGGGATTTGGGTAAATTACTCTATACCTTGTAGATGACTTTAAAGGCGGAGGCTATAGAGATAGGGTGATCATTATCGATCAGATGTTCAATGATCGCGCTTCTTATTGCTCCACTTCCACTTTTTTGTAACCATGCAGGATAAATAATATTATTACGTCAAGGTGATACTAGGCAACCCCGTATTCTAGTTGACTGATCATGCATGATCCACTCAGATGACGATCAAAGTTGATCCGGTAGTATGTGTGTCATCATCATTTGACTTATACTACTAGTTTGATTACCACACATTTAGATGAGTATGTGTTTTAAGAGGATATAGGTTTACATCAAAACTGAATTCGAATCGCCTGCTGCCTACAAATATCAGAGAAGCTCTACAGAGATATAGTGAATAATTCATTTGGGTATATCTGTATGCGGAAATCGGATGCACTGCCAGGATGGTAGTTCGCCTTAAATCGGAGTGCAAGTCATGCTAAGTAGTAAACCGATTTGCAAAGTAATTGAGACCTGAGATTTTATGATAATTGTACAGTGCTCGAAATTGTTGAAACTAACAAATAGCTACAGATTTTCACTTGAAAAATTATGATTTTTTGGTTCCAAGTGGAACATAGGCTTTCAACAGCACATTTGCATAATGTCCCATCCACTACAATGCCTTTTATCCAGCTGTGCAACTGCCCATAGTCGCTCATCGCCTTCTCTGATGATCATTTAACAGTCACCATCGAAAACAAGCCCAATTCGTCGTTTTTCATTCAAGTTCCACTCGAGTGATGGCCTAGAACACGATATCATTCGAAGATCTCCTCAGCATGTGTCCAATCCATCTCCATTTTCTTCCAGATATCTGTTGAGTAAGAGGTTCTTGACTGGTTCGTTCACAGATTTTTTTTGTTGCAATTTCTCTTCTTTTAAAAAAAATAAAGCAATTTCATTTGTTTTGTGGGAATGTGAAATTCGCAAGCAAATTATTGTTAGGTAATGTCAGCCTATTGAAATTCCCTTGGATACTGTTATTATTTATTGCTTGCCTTCTGAGTGGAACCTACATCCTCAGGGGAACATTTGTAATGCATTTGTTCCTCCAGCATGACTTAAAGCTGGCTACACGACCTCCTATAAAGTTTCGTTTCTTTCTCATACACTCATTATAATAAAGGTTTTTGTATTTCCCAATGAATGAAAAACAAAACGATATTGTTTTTACTGACATTTCGCTATTTAATGCGAATAGCTTATAATACTTATTGCTTCCTGTCCGAGTTCAACTCGATGACCTGAATGGTGCATAATGTCATTCAATGGTAGCCTCAATGTACGTCCCATATGCACCTCTATTTCCTTCCGCATAATATTCAATGTTAACTAACTGAATCCCTTTACATATGCAACGACTATCAAGTTTAATAGTCGCATAAGTGAATTAAAAACTTTCGTGCAATGTGAATAGCCATCATTTTTCTATTCATAGTGTGACTTCACATAGGTAATGTACTTTTTAAAATGATATCTGCTAACAAGTAATTCAATAATGGCGCCCAAGTTCATCATTACGCCATAAAATTATACCATTTGTTTATCATTTCCCTATCTTAACAAACTTATATTATTGTTGTTCCCTTGGGTCCCTAGTGGAACATAAGGCTTCAACTGCACGTCTCCACTTGCTCCTGTCTTCTGCCGTACTTTTCACTTGCATCCATATTATTCTATACAGTTTCAACTCCTCTTCACACGATCTCCTCCATGTCACCCCTGGACGTCCCACTCGTCGCTTCCCTTTCCACTCGAGCGATGGCTTGACGCGCGATGTCACCCAGCGGCCTCCTCAGCGAGTGTCCAATCCATCTCCACTTTCTCCTGCAAATTTGTTGGGCGATTGATTCTTGTTTTGTTAAAAAACTTACGGGAGGTTTTTTAAGTTTATCACAAAACCCTACCGATAGAGTCTACAAAGTCAGTGTGGTGACGAAAACAGCCCACTAATGAAAGTTACTGACAGTGGCACTTAGTATATAACCAGTTGGTAGAAGTAAGAATTAATGAGACATTCCACTCAATCCCACTAGCTGAACGGTCGATGGGCTTGCCTTACTACCTGAAGGTCCTAGGTATTTTTTCCCTGGTGGGGTAAGTGTTGTCGTGGAGCCCCAGACTGGGACGAAACAGCTATCCATTACTCTCTCTGGCTTATTTTATCTACCCTTGTAGATAAATTCCAGTCAGTCAAATCTTAGACATTCATTCTGTTATCTGGGTGATAGTATTAGAAATTTGATTGACTGTGAATATAGTGAAGACTGCTGATGACTGGATATGACAGGAATGACGTGCCAGTGCTATACTCCACTTGTCATTCAACATGAATTACGTTTATGAGTTTAAATCCATACAATTAATTAGCATTGAAATCGTACCAAAAAGAAATTGAGCGCTATTGCAATAAATTTGATTAAAATACTTTTTTTTATTAAAATTAAACAAAACTTCGTTCAACTGTCAATTTCAGGTGAAATTAGTGTTATCATTTTGCATGTGTGCATGTGTGCGTTGTATGAGGCTGTAGGCTTAAAGAAGTATGTGCTCTCATTAGCACATACTTATTTTTATTCTTTTTTTTTAATAATCAGTCTAAATGAAGAATATTCTTTTCAACAGAACTCTTCAAGTTCTCATAATTTTTGACGTAGAATTTATTATCATTATAATACTCATGAATTATCATGAAATTTGCACTTTTCTGCACTGAAGGCGACTTAAATTTCTAAAATCAGACATTAAACAAACCATAGGTGGGAAAATCATCACTTAATGGGGAATGCAGGTGCATCTAAGTGACGAGTCCCAAATACGACGAAATGTGCATCCTTGATTCCATTGCCAGTCACCACGATCCACCAATTGAAAACCACAAGTAGTTAAACACATCGTTGGTTATGGTTAGAATGATAATAAATTCTCCATTGAAGATGTAAGTAAATAAAGAGAACTTTTTGAAATGAGTTTTATTCAATTATGGATAAATTTTGTTTCGATAAAGTCTCACAGTGTTATACAGTAATATTTACTGATGACGTTTCGAGCACAATTTATTGCTCATAATCATATCAAGGTAATCACCCGACTTCTTAAATTCATTTATATAGTTCCGTTGTTTCTCACTTGATTTTCACTTGATTTGATTGGTAGTAATATTTTCCATATTTCGGGTATGAGTGATTTATCATTCCTATTGCATGTGTTGGGTGTAGATTCAATGAACAAAGATTCTGTAATCAACTACTCTCTCCACCTACCTACATTACTTTTTAGAAATTTAACCCTCTCCTTTCCTATTGTGTGGTTGTGTGTTACTGCATGCAGTGCAATCGCTGAGCTTTTTTCTAAATTACTTATCTTCTGGGGGTCAACCATTCTTACCTTTGCTAAATTATTATGTTCTGACAATCTGATTACTCCCGAC